TTAAGCCTGTTGACCCCAGGTCGACCCTGCGAAGGGGAATAACTTTTGTAAATGTGAAAATCCTTTATGGTATATCATATAGATCTAAGACTGACTGAATTTTGATCAGCCAATTTATGAACATGATGAATGGATGTAAATAATGTTGGTCAATATATGTAAAAAAAAATTAAATTACTTGTTTATGTATAGATTTGTGGTATCTCTCCCATTGAAGTTTATAAACTTGTTATTTATTTCTTAAACAAACTGAGCATACATGCAATACCGGTATAAAATTACTCATATGATAAGATGCATGTATACTTAAACCATGATAAAATCATATGTGTCCAATGCAGCATATGATAAGTCATTAACATACAAGTACATGTGTATCTATACTGTAATACATATATATTGCATTATTTTTAGGTCCTGTTCTGTGGATGCCCTAAGACAGTGTCTACCCATCACTCCATCTGATATCACTTGTCCTGAGCATATTTCTCTCTCAAACTTAAACTACAGAGAGCCTGTGGATAGTGGATGAAGAGTGACCTTGGACCAATTTTCTAGGTCAAAGGTCAGTATCAAAATCTACTGTATATCTTTATTTAAAATCGTAGTCCAGAGTATATTTCTCCCCTGCCTGGTGTAATCTAGCTTTTGTGCAATGGGGTGGAGGGTCTGCAATGATCTTCAACCAATTTCTAGGTCGAATATCAAAATAAAAAAAAAAATCTCTCCCAAATATTTTTGTTATTATAAAGAGTATGTTTTCTCTCAAACTAATCAAACTTAAAGCAGGGTTCTTAGTATGAGATACATGTAGTAATATATTCTCAATGACATAATAAGGCTGAAAACATTATTTATATTAGGCCTAAAATAAAATATTGTTTGTTTGCAGTTGCCGACCGACCCACTGAAAATGCACCCGACCCAAACTTTTTTTTAGCCATTTTGTAATATTTTTTTCTCTCCAATTTTTCAGGATATTAAAACTTTCATTTTCAATTTTTTTTCTTTATCAATCATACCAAGAGTGCAGCTTATTCATGTAAAGTAGGCCTATGAAAAACTTTATTTTATGTTATCTAACAAAGATCTGGAAATATTTAAAAAAAAAAAAAAAAAAAAAAATTGCCTACCTACCTACTCAGACTAAAAATTATAGGTCGGCAACTGCAAACAAAGAATTTTTTAAGCTTGACCTTATGTTATTTTTTTTTCACTTATCATAAAGCATTAATTATTAAAGAGATACATTAAATGCTGAAATCATATGCATCATGGTCATGGAAAGTAATTATTGATATTGGTATATTGAAGGACATTGACTGATCTTTCAGATTTCTAAGTTATATTCAAGCATTATAATTCTGACATCATATAATAATTTTGTATGGATATTGCAGATCAAAGGTGATGTGAAGAAAACCAGGAAACTGATGTTGAAAGAAGTACTTAATGACCCTTATGAATGGACTTAAATGTGAAAGACTGTTCCATTGTTAATCTAAGATATATGAATTTATTTAATATTTTGATATCATTGAAAAATTCAGTTACAGTTTTTGTACATCAAATGAATTATTAAACATATAAAATGGTAATGCTTTTTTCTTTTACATGTAATAAATTTTTTTGATATATTTTTGAAAGAATACACATTATTTCACATTGCTTCCTTTAGAAAAGTTAGGGAATCTTGAAGTTTCCCAGTAATTTCCACCAGGAATGGGACTCCAGATAATTCCACCAAGTTTACGCCACACAGAAAGTGTTACACAAGTTCCATATAGTTTCCTGAGTCAAGGAAACTGCAGGAATAATAATGTTTCACGAGCTTCCATGTAGTTTCCCGTAAAAGAAAACCTTAAGATTCCATCAAGTTTCCATTCCACGGAAACCACTACGCTCATATTCCATATGGTTTCCTGAGTCGAGGAAACTTTAGGAATCGTGAGGTTTCCCGAGCTTCCATGTAGTTTCCCATATAAGGAAACCTAAAGATTCCATCAAGTTTCCATTCCACGGAAACCACTACGCTCCGATTCCATATGGTTTCCTGAGTCATGGAAACTTTAGGAATCGCGAGGTTTCCCGAGCTTGCATGTAGTTTCCCATAAAAGGAAACCTAAAGATTCCACCAAGTTTCCATTCCACGGAAACCCCCTACGCTCCGATTCCATCAAGTTTCCTGATTCTGGAAACCAGTGGAATCTTCAGGTTTCCCATTACGGGAAACTACATGGATGTTCGGGAAACTTCAGGTTTACAGAGGTTTCCGTGGTTCGGGATACCTTATGGAATCGGAGCGTAGGGGGTTTCCGTGTCACGGAAACTTGGCGGAATAACCTAGCATCCGCTACGGAAACCACTGGGAAACATGATGTAAACTTGAGGTTTCCATGTGGTTTCCATAAAGTTTCCCATGATGGGAAACCACTTTTTTCACCCAGTGATATATATTATGTTTTCAATGATTGACTTTTACAACTTGAATAATTTGAATTAATTCGTTATTTTTTTTTTTATAATGCAGCGTTAAGTATCTGTCAAAATCTAGTCGGTCGTCAATCATTGTTATTTCAAAATCGATTTTCAGAAGATCAGCAGCGCTCGCTCCGTGATCGGAAGGTCGTGAGTTCGTATCTCGGCTGCGACTGACCTAGTCGTTAAAATGGGTAGCAACTTTTCCATCGCCATGCACTCGGCACTTTGAAGTGAAAGTTGCGGATCCTTCAAATGAGACCTTAAAAACTGAGGCCCCGTGTCAGCGGCAGGCGTTGGCACGATAAAGATCCCTCACTGCTCAATGGCCCTGAGTGCCGAGTAAAGGTCAAAATTTGAAGCCCTTCACTGGCATATGGTGCCTCTCCATATGAGTGAAAAACTCTCGAGAGGGACGTTAAACAATATACAATCAATCAATCAGAAGATCAGTCGATCAAACTAAACATGACATCCGACCAGATTTATACACATTGAGAAACGGGGTAAGATTAACAGATTAACAATGTACAGTACACAGAATGGTCAGACAATAGACCTTGATTAGGTGTCCCACCGTCCCCTGTTAACTAACAGGAAACTATACATACACAACATACACAGAGAGATTTTGATGATCAATTATTTTTACAAAATTTAAATTTAATGCAAGCATATAGCAAATTAAAAATATTGATTCATCGTAAAATGACAATTATTTTGATACCCATTATGAAACAAAAAGCATTAAAACTGAATCTGCTATTCTACAAAAAGTTTTTGTAAACGTAACCTTGTAACTCTTACGCGAGGATTGTCTCTAAATTGTAGACACAAAAACCGTTAATATCCGCAGTATATTTAAAAAAAAGTATAATCTGTTTTTTCGACTTTCTTTTTCGATGATCTATTGTTGTGTTTTATCTATAATTAATTTATTTTCAATCATGATTTAATGCTTACATGTATAAATTTTCGAATAACAGAGCGAAGAACTCAATCACATTACATCAGTCTAAAAGCCGAACTCAATGGTATAGAAATATTACTGCGAAATAAGCCTTTAAAAAATATCCATAAATAAAATTGTTTATATTTTGATTAAAAATCAATTCAAGACTTCGGATACGTTTATCAAAATAAATACTTTTAGAAGTACAAACAAATCTTGTAAAAATGAAAGTTAAATATTTTCCTTGAAAACAAAGAGCGGTGATAGCCTAATGGATAAGGTCATGGGTTTGCGCGCCGCCTGTGGCGATTTTTTTTTAAATTTTGAATTTCGTTCTTTTTCATTATTTTTACCAAATCAAGATATGTGCGAACTTTACATATATAATATTGATAACAAATCACTATAAAAATAATTTTTCACCCATATAAACAGTATTATCGACTGCGTCATGGTGGCTTAATGGTAGCTTAATGGAGTTTGGGCATTTAGCACCTGTACGTCCCCCTTAATGGTAGCTTAATGGTGGTCTAAAAGCTACCATTAAGGACCTGAAGGCCACCATTAAGCTACCATTAAGTTACATTTTAGCACCCATTAAGGAATTTGAGATGACTTAATGGTAACTTAATGGTGGTGTAAATGTTACTAAAAGGTGCTTAATGGTGACTTAAAGACACTACGACTTTAAACCATTATTAAGGACCTATAAGCCACCATTAAACCGGACTTAAAGGGTGTGTTTCATCTTGTGATTTCAGATTATTCTTGCAATATTATCTTACTCCAAAAAGAATTCAAACCTTAGAAATTATATTATTCATCAATATAATAAAACGCTTATCCCCTGCTTGTGAGTGGGAATGCTCTTTTATCAAACCCTTGACAGGGACTATTCCTCACGGGCAAGCCCTCGGGGAATAGTTCCCTGTCGCGGGTTTAACAAGAGCTTTCCCACTCATAACCCGTGGATAAGTGTTTACTAATCTTTTCGTGTGTAGTATTACATACTGGAAAACAAATCAAACATTAAAAGGTTGTTTTTCTAATCATTGTGATGACAACGAACAATAAATTTAATTAAAGAAGATGTGTATCATTTATACATTCAGCAATCGTCAGATAAAATGAGAAACGAACAAAACCTCTCACAATATACTGTAATTACCCATGCTATCTAATGTGTCAGGGACAATTTATTAAGTTACATAAAAGCAAACAAATATTTAATCGTAATATGTCATGATATATACAATGAAACAAATAAGAGTTCCTTTCATTCAATAAGAAAGGAAATAAAGAAACACTCAATATCTAGTGACAGCAGTTTAGATTTAAATTTGATCAAACTTTGGCACAATATAAAATCATAAACAACTGTTCCTCTAGATAAACATATAAAATTTGTACACTAATATTAACATCTCAGAAAGTGTTATCCCATTCATTTATAGTGCTTTTTATAACAGGCCTTAAGATCATGAATTGAGAAAATACTTATTAGTCAGATATTTTACTTTGGAATGTTATGAATATCCCTTCATAGAATTTGCAAGTGTGTGTTATATACAAATTTTACAAGCATGTTGAAAATTCTGCTTCATTATAAGTTTTTTTTTCGAAATGTAAATTGATTTCAATTTTCGGATGAAATTTGTTCTTAGTTTGTGATTTTGGAGCCAGGTATGCATTGTTGACTTCTTTCACTGTTCAGGTCTTCATAATGTACTGATCTAATCTAGACATTCCCCATTTCCATATTTCGTCTGTTATTTCCCACTAAGACCCACTTCTCCTCGTCCATTCTATATTCCATTGTTTTTTCCTCCTATGTAATACGGTCCAGGATTTTTCACCGGCCCTCTTTCTTTTTTATTCTATAATTTGAATAAATAACTTTTTTTCATTTCTTTAAAAGTATACATTTTCTTAAATAAAATGCTGCATTTTGATTTTCACTATTATAAATTTATACATGCTAGCGGTTATAGATTTGATGTAAATGTTTTATCAGTTATGTTTGGAAAGCACTTTTTTCATTTGTCACCTATGTAGTTTTTTCATAACATCTGATTTTACTCTGTATGATTTCTCTGAAACCTTTTTGCTGTTGTGATCACCAATGTTTATTTACCAACCTTTTTTTCTAAATGCCTTTAGTTTTGGGTCTTCACTTGGTGTGTTTACGGAGCAAACTTTGATGAAGACGCCCATCACGATCACAATCCCGACCACAATTAGCATCACACCCCACCAGTATTCCTGTAAAATAAACAGAACCACGAACCCGACTACAATAAGCATCACACCCCAACAGTGTTCCTGTAAAAAATAAAAAGAATCATGAACCTGACTTCAATTAGCATAACAACCATCCAGTGTTCCTATAAAAATAAACAGAATCACGATTCCGACTACAATTAACATTATACCAACCAGTGTTCGTGTAAAAATAAAGAGAATTACGACTCCGACGCAATGAGCAAAATTACAATTATATCCCTGATGGTATATATAATCACCAGAATTGAAGTTTAATTACATACAATGATCCAGTTTTTAATTGTAGTGAGAGTTTCTTCTCCAAAAATCAAATTTTTCAGTCGCTCTAGAGGTCCCTCGTTATCCACACCACCACATCTGTGGAAAACGTCACCTAAGCCTTGATAGTTGCTACAGGGTGTGCCTTGAATATACAAAATACAATACAATATCCCTGCTAGGTGTAACAGGGTGTGCCTATAAAATATACAATTTACGTCAGATTAGTCTTGAGTATTGATTAATTGTTTTCTTTTAGGTTTAATGATTAGGTTAAACATTTAGTGACAATTTCATATTTATTTCAGCATTTTTGTAATTATCAAACGAGTGAATCTAGTCCTCTTGGCTTATGACTTCATATTAACGAAAGACTTTTTTTCTAATATTTGACTATTATCAGGTATTGTAAATTTACAAGACTTTATGCTAGATAATTTATACGATAAATGAATTCATGTCGTTAATTTGATTTTTGTTGCTTGTTAATTTTTTTATGACGTCACAATTAAAATTCTAATACGGAGAAATTGTATTTGCTGACAAGGTCATTGTATCGACCACAAAACTTTTTTCAAGTAAAATATCCAAATATGAAACAGATGTGTCAGACTCAAGCTCACTAAGATATATCGTATCGACATAAAGAGTGAATATTGAATACTGACTAACTAAATAAATCATGTAATTACTTAAAAGGTGGAAGTTGGTAATATAATACTTGAGGTCACCACAGTCATCATGAAGTTTACCAGTTAGATTGACATCAGTGTCTTTCTCTAGCAAAATGTCTAGGTATGAGGCAATTGATTTAATCTTTCTTGTATCTTTATCTATAAGAAGGACATTCTTACCTGAAGCCACTAAAATGGGCGAAGTATGTTTGTTCAAACGCTTTACGTCTTCAACTACTTTACTCAATGCCTCTGTAATTTCCGAGTCGTCTGACACATAACATGTGTCGTTGCCATCTTTAAGAAAGGAAAAATATTAAATTTTTATTTTCATAATATTCAATTTAGTCATAAAGAGTTTTGTTCTCACTGAAATGATTTAGTGAGGTAGAGTAGATTATGAAGCTGTTAGACTTGTATGAATGAGGATGTTTTGCCTCTAAAACTTGAAATAATACGAGAAAATTTAAATATGCATGAATGATATCTAAAAAGAATATGGAGATATAATGAACAGTATTCAAATAAAACAAGCTGTAATCACGCTGTAAACAAGCATTGTATTCATTGAAAATGGTAAATTACATTTTTGATTGCCTAACTGAATAAATCAAGTTTAGGGAAAAAAAATAGATAAGACAAACCTAGTTTGCAAGCTAAATAACATAATTGTTCTTTTTGTACTACGGAGAGGGAGCCCGACATGCTGATGTAGCATTCATCCCATGACGAGATCCACGGATCAGGAGATTACGTATTGTAATAACCTATTCGCTTACAGAGAGAACCTTCACAAATCTACAAACAGAAAATAATTGAGTATAACTCTTGTAAAAAGGAGCCTGTCTCTAATCAAACCTATGGAGAAAAAATCTTAGAAAAGGATCTATAAATTTATTACTATGAAAATAACACTTTCAAGTGAATCTTTTACACCTTGGAAATTTTAACTTCAGTTCTACTCATTATCTTAATGAATTAACTTACATGTACATTTTTTTTTTCTAGATTTCAATATCATTTTAAAATAAATGTAGAAAACGCTATGCTCAAAAGTAATACATACAGTCTTACCCCGTTTATGCAGACTTGGGTGAAGTCATTGCAGTAGTCATGTCCGGTTTATTTTCAGAAACTGGACACTCTGCGCTTGTTCCGGTATACAAGTTAAGAAGTAATGTTCGTAATTTTCAATTTTGTTTGATTCTCAGAACCATATTTTCATAGAGGCAAATGCATTCCTATTCTATATTCATTAATTTTTTTTTTCAAACACTATGAATTAAAAAAAAAAATAAAAAAAAATAGCTCTTAGATACACTCTTTTAATCAACATCTTTTGCTCTAGATTGGCATTGCTTCCAAAAAAAATTTGAGGTTGTTTATTCGTCGTTTTCATTATATTTCATGTCTAGGAATAGTAAATTTCACAACCTTTATACTTTACAGTAATATCCTTTTACATTGTAAACGTAATATCATGGCTTAGTTCTTTATTTCTCTTTGCACGCATTTTCAATGTAATTGCTAACACTATTTCAAACATTTTTGGGGGGTTTAGTTCAATTATTTTGTCTTTGATTATAAATAATATTGTTAGAAGATTCCAAAAAAAAAAAATGAACATACTTCTGTTTTTCGGAAGTATTTCTAAAATTTATAAAAAAGTAGCTGAAGTGTAACTAGTAATTATTGTTTGGAAAAGGATATTTGCATTTTTCTTCTAGACTACAATCTGTGGAGGTTCGACAGTTATAGATATTAGTTGGTTTATAATTACAATCCTCAGTACAACATGGTCTTTCTGTTGCACTACAAAGAATACAAGACAGGTAGAGGTATTAGCTGGTTTATAATTACAATCCTCAGTACAACATGGTTCTTCTGTTGGACTACAAAGAATACAAGACAGGTAGAGGTATTAGCTGGTTTATAATTACAACTCTCAGTACAACATGGGTCTTCTGTTGGACTACAAAGAATACAAGACAGGTAGAGGTATTAGCTGGTTTACAATTACAACTCTCAGTACAACATGGGTCTTCTGTTGGACTACAAAGAATACAAGACAGGTAGAGGTATTAGCTGGTTTATAATTACAACTCTCAGTACAACATGGGTCTTCTGTTGGACTACAAAGAATACAAGACAGGTAAAGGTATTAACTGGTTTATAATTACAACTCTCAGTACAACACGGGCCTTCTGTTGGACTACAAAGAATACAAGACAGGTAGAGGTATTAGCTGGTTTATAATTACAACTCTCAGTACAACATGGGTCTTCTGTTGGACTACAAAGAATACAAGACAGGTAGAGGTATTAGCTGGTTTATAATCACAACTCTCAGTACAAGAATCTTTATTGTGAGTATCCCCGGCTGACTGGTACGCCCGCTGTGTGCTTCTTGTCGTGATCAGGAAATAATTGAAAAATCAAGAATCTTAATTGTGTGATAAATGTGAAATATATTTCTTGTTGACTAGATATAAACAGAATTCTTGTTCATCCACGAGTTAGTATTCTCCAGGAAATAATATTCTATAGCTTCAAAGTCATATTCATTTTGTAAATATCAGTGATGTACATAAAATCATTTCCCGAGACAAACCTGTCAATTCTAAACAAAGTATGAAATTGTCCCTTACGAATTTAAATGATTCAACAGTATTTAAAAATGATTGCTTTTCAAAACGAAACTCAGTCTCAACCATTGTATGTTATAATAAGTTAAGAATACATGACTTGTATAATTTTATTCTACAGACATCTGGAAAGAAAATTACAATTTTAAAGTATGAGCATTCGAAGATACAAAAGTAATATTTCCCTAAACCAATTTCAAATTTTCAGTCTAAATTTAATGTTTTCCTAATTTGTTAGGTATGATATGAATTAAAAATAATAAAAAAGAAATAATCATTGCCTCACCTGCATTTAAATGACGGATCTCTGTATGTACACATCAGTTTGTCGTTTGGGTCTCTGCTCCGAGGGTGGCAGCACCTGTCTGTACACTCATCCTTATATCTGCAATCACACTGCTCCCCCGACTATACTATACCATTACCACAAAATGCCGCACCCGATGCTAAAAAGAATTTTACTCACATTTAATCTTTTTTTTATTTTATACAAGGCAAACTAAAATTAGATCTAATAATATGTTTATCAATACATGTATATATTCCTTATTTTATCAACTCCCTAACTAAGATATTTTTGAAATCTAAAAGAATATGAAGAGAGAGAGTAAACCTATGAAAACGATTAATAAATGAACATATTATGTTGAGAAATAGTATTTCTCACTCCTTATCATGACTTCATCAACCAATTTTACTTTTTACTTTAATGCATACAGTAACACTAAGAAGACAATAACATTAAATATGTAGGATTATGCTAATTTCTCCTATGATATGTGCAGTAAGGTGACAGTTACATTTAAAACAGTCAAATTATGTTACTTTCTCATATGACATTTACAGTAACATTAATGTGACACCTTTCTCATATGTTATACACAGTACATGTAACTATAAGGTGACACTAAAATTTTAAACAGTTAAATTATGTTACTTTTCTCCTATGATAAATACAGTATCAGTAAGGTAATACTAACATTTAAACCAGTTGGATAACGTCACTTTTCTTCCATGATATATACAGTAACTATAAGATGACACTAATATTTAAAGCAGTTGGGTTATGTTACTTTCTCCTTTCATATATAATAACAATATGTGACACTTACATTTAAAGCATGTGGATAAGGTCATTTTTATCCTTTGATATATACAATAAGATGGCATACTAACATTTAAATCAGTTGGATTATGACACTTTTCTCCTACAATTTAGTCGCCCATGTGGTGCAGTGGTTAGAGCGTCTGCTATAGAGTCGCGAAGTAAGGAGTCAATCCTTACGTCGCGGGTTCGAATCCCACTGGGAGACGTGGAGACCGGTCCTTCGGATGAGACCGTATAAACCTAGGCCCCGTGTCGCAGTAGGTGCTGGCACGAAGAAGATCCCTAACTGCTCAAAGGTCCTGAGTACCGAGCATAGGACAAAAATTTGTAGCTCTCCACCAGCAAGTGGTGGCGTCTCCATATGAGTGAAAAATTCTCGAAAGGGACGTTAAACAACATACAATCAATCAATCCTACAATATATATACAGTAACTAAATAAGGTGATACTAACATTTAAAGCAGTTGGATTATGACACTTTTCTCTTATTGTACATACAGTAACTATATAAGGTGATACTAACATTTAAAGCAGTTAGACTTTCCATTCCTCTCGTTCACTACTGCGTCTAAGACTAACGTGATGTTTCCTTTACTACACTCAGAAAATGATCGTTGTTAGGGTGGTTACCCTTGGTCGCGCTTGGATACATGATTAAGTTACCCGGATCTCTTCCAGGTACGCAAATATATCCACTATCATGACGAAAAGAAATAACATAAGTTTACTTTTCTCTAACTAACGAAATTAAAAATATAACATATGAATTATCTATTCAAAAATAAAAAAAAAAAACATGTATCATGCTGTGAAAATTTTAATCATAATTAATAAAATATATTTTAAACAAATATTAATTAATTTGACAAGGTAAAAGAAATGTTTGAATGAATAGTGAATAAAGACCTAAACTTTATATAATTCACACGTATTGATTAAAAGACAAATATTTATGCTTCAAAGCCTTATATGACGTTCATAAAGCCTTTTCTTTCGTACATAATTATATTTGTATCAAATATACAAATGTCTATTTTTAGGAATATGTAAGTGAAATAATGTATCAGACAGCCAAAGTTGTGTCCCACATAGTGGGCGAACTAGAGGTGTGAGACCAGCAGTTGAACACGGCGGACGTATTTATAATGGCATACTTACAAGACATCCAAAGTTGTGTCTCACTTCGTAAGGGAACGTCTAGTGTGACAGGATTCTATTGTGCAAATCTTTCCTTCCTCTGTTCTAAAATCATGGTGAATACATTAATCTATTAAAGAGGAAACTTCCGGTTTTTTACATCCTGTATATTTCTTGGTCTCTGGGTCATTATCAAAAATACGCACATTTTTGCGTCTGTGTTAATTTGAACGGAAAAAAAAACATGTTTGAGGCGAAATTTAACAGTATCATAAGGCTTTAAAAAACGAAAACCTTTTATTTTTGAATACATTCATTTATAATTTTATTGCTTTAAGTAATATAAAATATTATTTTATAACAAGATATGAGTGACTTCATGCTGTCAATGTATTCTGTCAATTGTCTTTAGCCTACAACAACTTAAAAATAATATTTTCTAATTCATACATCTAACCTTTGGAAAATATAATAGAATGTGTCTTTCTAAAATTGTTTCAGCAATTTTTTTTCTGACTCAGTTTTATTCAGTTGACTTTAATGTACGAATTAGAAGGGGTAGATTTTTACTTTGGGGAAAAGCGAGATAACTCTATAAATATTTTTCGATTCCTTGACCAGAAGAGGTGAGTTCCCAAGTTATTAAATCTGCCATTGTCACACGTGTGTCATCTTCTTCTTTTCTCTTCAGGTGATATTATATTATTTACAGTATATTATGCTCTGCTCCTACTTTGTATTGTTTTATGGACTTTGATATTGAATACGTTCGTTTATCCTCATTCTTCCTTACATCCTTCCTTAGAGTTTATTACATCTTGTATCTATGGAACGAGATTTATGTTTATGTAAGGAACATGTTGTGACTCGATATGAGAATGATAAATGTATGAATTAGTGTTATAGGCTGCAAAGTGAGCAGGTTAACAGTAGCTTACATGTGGGTACACAAGTACTGTCGTGTTTTATTGATGCATCTGTATTTTTACATGTATATATTGTCTTAGGGTGAATATTTCTTTAGTTATAATGATATAAAGAATATGGTTAAATTGATAGTATTAAGTGATTTGAAGATAAGAACATGTTGATATTTATTTGATTACTGAGTAATTGTGACCTAATTTGTGCATCCCAGCATGCCTCAAGCGTAATGGCTGCACCGTTGTGTACACGTTTGTTCGGGTCAAGTTAGATTATTTTACTATGTAATTAATTTTTTGTCGAGCAAGATTAAACCTTTTAGTTAGAAAGAATAACTACAGCATTGATAATCTATGTTTATCCCATTTATCATAATTTCGACGTAAGGAAAATCATATCTAAGTCATCAATCTTGATTGCATTGTGTCACAATAAGTCAATAAAACCATCTCTAAGTCATTAATCTCGATTGCATTGTGTCACAATAAGTCAATAAAACCATATTTAAGTCATCAACCTTGATTGCATTGTGTCACAATAAGTCAATAAAACCATATCTAAGTCATCAATCTTGATTGTATTGTGTCACAATATGTCAATAAAACCTTATCTAAGTCATCAATCTTGATTACATTGTGTCACAATAAGTCAATAAAACCATATCTAAGTCATCAATCTTGATTGCATTGTGTCACAATAAGTCAATAAAACCATATCTAAGTCATCAATCTTGATTGCATTGTGTCACAATAAGTCAATAAAACCATATGTAAGTCATAAATCTTGATTACATTGTGTCGCAATAAGTCAATGAACCATATCTAAGTCATCAATCTTGATTGTATTGTGTCGCAATAAGTCAACAAAACCATATCTAAGTCATCAATCTTGATTGCATTTTGTCACAATCAGTCAATAAAACCATATCTAAGTCATCAATCTTGATTACATTGTGTCTCAATAAGTCAATAAAACCATATCTCAGTCATCAATCTTGATTGCATTGTGTCTCAATAAGTCAATAAACCCATATCTAAGTCATTATTCTTGATTGTATTGTGTCACAATAAGTCATTGGAACCATATCTAAGTCATCAATCTTGATTGTACTGTGTCACAATAAGTCAATAAAACCATATCTAAGTCATTAATCTTGATTGTATTGTGTCACAATAAATCAATAAAACCATATCTAAGTCATCAATCTTGATTGTACTGTGTCACAATAAGTCAATAAAACCATATCTAAGTCCTCAATCTTGATTGCATTGTGTCACAATAAGTCAATAAAACCATATCTAAGTCATTAATCTTGATTGTATTGTGTCACAATAAGTCGATGAAACCATATCTAAGTCATCAATCTTGATTGTATTGTGTCACAATAAGTCAATAAAACCATATTTAAGTCATTAATCTTGATTGTATTGTGTCACAATAAGTCAATAAAACCATATCTAAGTCCTGAATCTTGATTGCATTGTGTCACAATAAGTCAATAAAACCATATCTAAGTCATTAATCTTGATTGTATTGTGTCACAATAAGTCAATGGAACCATATCTAAGTCATCAATCTTGATTGTACTGTGTCACAATAAGTCAACAAAACCATACCTAAGTCATCAATCTTGATTACATTGTCTCACAATAAGTCAATAAAACCTAACCTAAGTCATCAATATTGATTGCATTGTGTCACAATAAGTCAATAAAACCATATCTAAGTCATCAATCTTGATTACATTGTCTCACAATAAGTCAATAAAACCTAACCTAAGTCATCAATATTGATTGCATTGTGTCACAATAAATCAATAAAACCATATCTAAGTCATCAATCTTGATTACATTGTCTCACAATAAGTCAATAAAACCTAACCTAAGTCATCAATATTGATTGCATTGTGTCACAATAAGTCAATAAAACCATATCTAAGTCATCAATCTTGATTGCATTGTCTCGCAATAAGTCAATATGTCTTATCCGGTTAAAGTATTAACTGAAGAACTGAAGGAAGAAGATGATGAACATGTGGCATTGGCAGAATTTTAAAACTTCGTCAGATATATACTTTTTTAATCATGCCAAGTTAATGGTAAGCAAAACGTACTCAGGCTATGAATAAAGTCTTATAATACACCAGGCAATACTAACATTTATATCAGTAACATAAGATTTGAACAAACTTGAATGTATACTACCTGAGAATGAATGAGTTTCAATTTTCCTCGCCCAGTGGTTCTTGACAAGAATACTTTTTAAAAATGCCATTAATTTCTTTAATTCATAATAATCTCCCCTTGCAAGATCCTTCATTTATAAAAACTTAAAACCCTTAACCTAAGGATATTTTTTAGCAAGTTTTGTTGAAATTGAATTAGTACTTCTTGAGAAAAAGCTGAAAATGTGAAGACTGACAGACGGACAAAATGTGATCAGAAAAGCTCACTTGAGCTTTCAGCCAATGTGAGCTAAAAAGCACTGTCTTTGTTTGTAATATTAGACGATCAATAAAAAACGACAATTAATAATATAAAAAGAAAACTTTATTATGTGGGAATATTTAATATGATTTTATTTTTTAAGGAAGTAAGCATACATGTATAACACTATATTTAAAATATGATACATATTTGGATTTTATGATAAATTCATTTCACATAATAATATGACTGCCGTCACGAGAAAAGGGCCCTTAAGGTCAAATTTTCATAAAATGACTTTTTGGTGAATTTTAATAGCCGGACTCTTTCTGAATGCAAATATACATAAATTTTAAAAATATCTCACTTTTTCTGTATTTTATGAGCATTTTAGTGAGGTGCTCCAAAAACAATTTTGACGTTACTCACTGAAAACGTAATGACGTCGCCTGCGTCTAAATCATTTTTCAGAAATTCTTAAAATTATGTTATTTGAATAACCTCAATCGTTTTGAGAATTAAAATCTTAAGAAAATATTTAATTTTTTTTTCTTCCAAGCAACTAGTATGTAACAATTCCTAAGGAATTTCGTAAATTATTACTATTTTTATACTATTTTAGAGCAGATCTAGTTATTCGTAAAGGGGGGGGGGGGTCTAGACAGAATCTAGGAATAGTTTATACATGTAACATAATGAGTAGGGAAATATTTGTTTAAATCCAATGGCATACAAATTATTCATTTTATATAAAATAATCTAATTCAATTTATAAAATATATAAAGCACTCGGACACTTAAAGACTAAAGGAAATATATACAGAGAGAGAGAATCCCATGCAGAATGGCTCCGTGCGCAAAATGGGGCACCCCCTCGCAAAAAGCACATAGATCCCGATATTAACAAAAATCATATAAGTCAGCATTCACTCACCAACACAGGCGCACGTAACTTAATTCCCTATAACTGTTACAATAGGATGAAAAACACAATGTATTTTCTGTATCATCGAAACATTCAATTGGAAAATAAATTCAGATACGCCAAGATATGTAAACTTGTTTTTAAAAACGTTTATTCCGTTTATGAATTTATTCCATTTATAAAAATTCATGAATTAAAAAAATAACTATACGTTCGCTACTTCAATGCAAGCGGATTTTAAAACTTCTACTTTTTTGAATATTTTATTTAAAGTTTTTAAAGCTCTTAGGTTCCATTGTTTAAACAATTCATTTTTTTGCCTGCCTTAGCCCTTAGTTATGGAGTAGAAACATAGTAAATAGGGAAATACTAGTAAAGGATTCTCTTATGAATGGTTTATATACCGTACCTTAAGTTGAAACTTTCTTTGAATTTATACCTCAAATTGAAAACGTCTTTTTACTTCTTACTTTTTTAAAAGTATATACCACAATTAAAATCGGTTACAAATATTTCTGCACCTTAACTTTTTTTTAGTTTGTGGCACCTGTACCCTGTTTAACTTGAACACAACATTTGTATATTTTTTCCAAGGGCCGCTACTATGATCTGATAAAAATATGATTTATGTATACTGTATGATATAATCAAAAGGGATGGTGAATTGTGCTGTTCTTGTCTCTTTCTTATATATGTACACTAAACGCCGTGCTTGACTTTTCTTAGCTGCAGATCTGTAACGTTATGGTTTTACTTATTTGTCTTTGACCATGGTCAAAGACAAATATGTAAAACCATTAAGCTACAGATATGCAGCTAGACTTTTCTGTGC